GCGCCAGGCAGATAACCACCCAGCCACCTAACCGACCAACCACCCTCAAGCGAATAACAAATTTGGCACGTATTTTTAGCGTTAAGTGAATTTAAAATTAAAATTTAAGCACAACAAATAAATTGACTCCATTTAGACGAGCTGATATTACATCAAAGTAAAGGAGAAGAACGAAAATAAGCCAAATGTTAGAGATTAAATAGCTATTAATGGACTGGTGATTTTCGGAATTAAAATAATGAAAAAAAAAAACTGGACTTTGACAAAAGAAGGTCAATGTGACAAAGTCTTAAGTGACAATGTTCGATTATTTAAATATATTTTGACTTCTGTGATGATTATTCAAATTGTTGACACTCTATGGATAGGTTCCGAATATTGTCCTTTTCGCATCGGACCTAAATAAATATGATATAAATATTGCGATGTGCCAGATTTGGAGTATATTGGTTAGTTTCTTCACTTTATATGAGATATGTGCATTAGGTACCAGATATAGTCGACGAGAAGTATTTCATTTTCATACTTCATCTAATACCGATAAAAATATTGGTATGGGCAAAATTACAAGAGAATCGAACATTTATATCCACTTTTATGCGAAATCATAAATTCCATATTCATCTCAGGTTTCTGGTTGAGAGAAATATTTAGATATAGGAAGTTGTAGAGAATCGCTGAATTGTTTCTCAATTTATGACAGATAAAAGTATTGAAAATTGTTACCATTTGTGGGTTAGGTACCGGAAGGGGTTCGCAGATATATATCATCTTCACAACAGATTTTGTGTGAGCAAAAATGTCTGTATGTGAGAAATTTAAAGAGATTCGGATGCTTATTTCGCTTTCTTTGGGCGTTTGGTTTTCCAAAATCTTATGGGGGAGGTTCAAGAAAAAATGTTCCGTTCTCTACCACCTTTAAAACAAATCTTGTGTTGATCTAAATATTGAGATGTACTAAGTCCGAATGTTATCGGATGTTAATTTCGCGTTTTATGAGCTTCATGGATATTCCATATGTCGACCCTTTGTGGGGGAGGTACCAAAAAGAGTAGACCGACATATCCCATCTTCACAATAGATCTTCTGTTAGTGGAAATAATGGGATGTGTGAAATACGAAGCGAACCGTATGCTTATGTCGAATTTTATAGTCGTTTTGTTTTTTTTAAACCTTTGACACTTTGTGTGGGAGGTACCAGAAGAAATGGCCCGATCTCTACTATCTTTACAACATATCTTGTGTTAATAGAAATATTGTCTAAAGTCTGAATGGGATCGGATGTTTATTTCGCGTTTTATGGGCTTCATGGATATTCAAAATTTTGACCCTTTGTGGGGAAGGTACCAGAAAAAGTGGACCGATATATCCCATCTTAACACCTAGCCTTGGGTTAATAAAAATATTGGGATGTGTGAAATTTGAAGACAATCGGACTCTTACATCAAATTTTATACGGGTTGGAATTATTCAAAATTTTGACCATTTGTGGGGTAGGTACTTGATGGAGAGGACCATTTTCTCACCTGTACCTACCCACAAATGGTCAAAATTTTGAATAATTCCAACCATAATTCCATTTTCTCACCTGACCCAGAACTGACCAAAATATTAGGATTTGCAGAGTTGGAGCAAAATCGGATTATCGTTTCTCTTTCTGTGCAGAAAATATATTTTGTTTTGATAATTTCGATCATTTGTGGGGGGAGGTACAAGAAGAAGTGGACCGATACTTCCCATCTCCGAACTCGATCTAAGTTTACAAAAAATATTACTATATACCAAGTTTGGACCAAATCGGATACTCCCTTTGAGAGTTATCGCGCCAGCAAGACAAACAGACAGGCGGACGGATGGAAACAGATTTGGTCCAAAGAGACCTAGGGCCTAAAACCGTTATTTTGACTAGGCACTAGAAAATCTATTTTTATACCCTAGCCAAATGTCTGAAGGTATAAAAATGGATATTATCCACCTTAAATGGGGAGAAAATAAACAGTATTCGCGAAGCTGGTATGTACAAAAAATAATTTCTGGAGTTTTAAATTTTTTTTTTTCAATCCAACATGTTGGGAGAATTGGTTTAGGTAGGGCCTTTCTCGATCATTTCATTTATTCGATTATTTTTATAGCTTTTATGGCCACTCCAAATTTTAATTATTTTTACAGCTTTTATTTTGGTTTCAAGTTCGAAAGGCGACATTAAAATCCTGAGTTTAATTTAAGAAGATTGGTTAAGTTTGAAAGTGATATATTGTAGATTAAATTATTTAAATTTTGGAAAAAAATATTTATTCTTCATTTTAATTTCCTTATTAACGTAAATTTTATTTTCCTCATTAATGGCGATATTGATAATCGGGAATTTATTGAGCCGCTGAGATGTATAAATTCACTCAATAAAAAAATCTTAATTGATTAACAACTTTTCGATATCATTTAGTTTTGAATTTCAGTACACTGAATATATCCTTTTTTCTATGAAGATGAGTTTTGAATACAAAAAAATCCACTCTCATCACTAATCCCTCGCCATTTGCAATTCAATATCCGCACATATTTATTTATTTGTATTTTTTTTTTTTGCACTGTCGCAATATAAAGTGTTATTTCTCGAACATATTGTTTTCAATTATTTTAATTGCTTTTATTTTAGTTGCGAGTTGAGAAACTGACTTAAAAAAAGTTTATTTATTTGAGGGTGGTAGAGCGTGTATGGATGAAGGCCATATCCATGAAAGAAACTTTACTAATAATGTGGGATTAAATAAAACAACAAAAATAAAAGTTTTAAGTTTTTTCTCTACACACATCAACAATGCAATTCTAAAAAAAAAAAAAAACAAACATGAGTTGCATATCCCGCATTGTAATGAGTTGAGAGAAAAATAAAGTTCATTTCCCAGAGCAACAATTAAAATGAGGATTAAAGTTTTACAATTGCGTTTGAGTTGTAGTGAAACATATGTTAAATCAAATGGGGATATAAAATTATCTTTTGATACCCTTTGGAAATTAGGGGGTAAAGGGATATAGGTTTGCATATATATTTCCTCCCCAAAGTAAACCCCTGGATGGGAAGAGCGGGAGGGCTTGAAGAGCACGGGTTTTACACGAAGTTTACTCTCTACTCTTTTGTTTTACATGGCATTGCGCTCACAAGTATTCCTGATTGGAAAATATGAGAGGAATGGAAAAAATAGTGGAGAATTTAATTTATTTTCTAGGCTAATCTATTTTATAGGACACTCTGGCCTTCAGTTCATCTGAAAGGACTCTCTGGCCTTCAGCTCGTCTGAAAGGTCTCTCTGGCCTTCAGCTTATCTGAAATGACTTTCTGGCCTTCAGTTCGTCTCAAAGGACTCTCTGGCCTTCAGCTCGTTTGAAAGGACTCTCTGGCCTTCAGCTCGTCTGAAATGACTCTCTGGCCTTCAGCTCGTCTGAAAGGACTCTATGGCCTTCAGCTCGTCTGAAAGGACTCTCTGGCCTTCAGCTCGTCTGAAAGGACTCTCTGGCCTTCAGCTCGTCTGAAAGGACTCTCTGGCCTACAGCTAGTCTGAAATGACTCTCTGGCCTTCAGCTCGTCTAAAAGGACTCTCTGGCCTTCAGCTCGTCTATAAAGACTCCTAGCCTTCAGCTCGGCTATAACGACACCCTGGCCTTCAGCTCGTCTATGAAGCCTCCCTGGCGAACCATCTTGTCTATAAAGACTCTCTGGCCTTCAGCCCGTCTATAAGGACTTCTTGATCTTCAGCTCGTATATAAGGATTACCTGGCCCTTAGCTCGCCTATAAGGACTCCCTGACCTCCAGCTCGTCTGTAAGGACTCCCTGAGCTTCAGCTCGTCTATAAGGACTCCCTGAGCTTCAGCTCGTCTATAAGAACTCCCTGGCCTGCAGCTCGTCTATAAAGACTCCCTGGCCTACAGCTCGTCTATAAAGACTCCCTGGCCTACAGCTGGTCTATGGAGACTCCATAGCCTTCAGCTGGTGTATGGAGGCCCCAATCCTTCAGCTGGTCCATCGAGACTCCCTAACTTTTAGCTCTTATATAAAGACTCCCTGACCTCCAGATCGTCTATAAGAACTCTGTGGAGACTCCCTAGCCTTCAGCTGGTCAATGGAGACTCCTTAGCCTTCAACCGGTCTATGGAGACTCCATTGCCTTCACCTAGCCTATGGAGACTAACTGGCCTTTAGATACTTACGGAGACTTCCTGGTGTTAGCTCTCCCTAACCTTCACCTCCTTTATGAAACCTCCTGTCCTAGATTTTTCTTAATTTAATTTTGCGTAAAATTTTGTCTTCCAGCAATTTTCACTTTTCTCTTCAATAACAAAGAAATCAATTTAATGATGGTCTTAGTTTCAATGCTGTCCTCTTACATGTAAGTTCCATTATAGCTTTATGTCATGTTGACTAACATATTTATTTAATCTCTAACAGTGACAAATATAATATCCTTAAAGAAAAGATTTTCAATTATTATTTCTTGGAAATTGGGCACAAGAAGAAGAAGAAAGATAGGTAGAGCCAGCAACTGAAGTAGAAGGGAGAAAAAGGGTATTTGAAGAATATTTACCAAAAGGATTTTCTTGTAAATTCTACTTGATATGGCAATCTTCCATCGAATGACCATGGTAATGACACAGACTACATATTAAACAACTTTAGTAGTCCAGTCATCGTAGCTGCTGTTGTTGTCGTTCTTGTTGTTAATTATGACCGGGGGGTAAGAAGGTAAGGCGATATCAGATTTCCATCCCCTTCAAACATGAATGTAATTCTGAAGTGTCTCATTCATCGTTGTCGTAATCGCCATGACTAATTTGGGACGGTACTTAACTTTTATTAATTAAGTTTTGTAACCACAAAATATAAACGCAAATTGAGATTATTCACAGTAAGCTATTGATGATGACCTACAACTACTGTAGGTCATAATAAATTCATTTGTAATTGAGAAAATAATTAAAAAGGGGAAATGTATTTTATTCTTACCTTTATTTCGAATTAGAGATGCAGAACACCTGAAAGAGATAAAAAAAATTGTTTTAGAAAGAAAGGGAAACATTTATAAATAAATTGTGATGGAAGTCTGTAAGGTAATAATTGAGTTGAAGACCAGGGCATAACTGAAGATGAGCTGAGGATTTGTGAGTCACTGAAGACGAGCTGAGGGTTTGGAAGCCTCTACGAGCCAAGAATTAGGGAGGCATTGTGGACGTCTTTATACACCAGCTGAAGGTCGTCTTTATAAACGAGCTGAAGCCCGTCTTTATAGGCGAGCTGAAGACCGTCAGAATAGACGAGTTGAAGGCCAGACAGTTTTTACAGAGAGCTGCTGGTGGGCCAGGGAGTCTTTATAGACGAGCTGGTGGGCCAGGGAGTCTTTATAGACGAGCTGGTGGGCCAGGGAGTCTTTATAGACGAGCTGGTGGGCCAGGGAGTCTTTATAGACGAGCTGGTGGGCCAGGGAGTCTTTATAGACGAGCTGGTGGGCCAGGGAGTCTTTATAGACGAGCTGGTGGGCCAGGGAGTCTTTATAGACGAGCTGGTGGGCCAGGGAGTCTTTATAGACGAGCTGGTGGGCAAGGGAGTCTTTATAGACGAGCTGGTGGGCAAGGCAGTCTTTATAGACGAGCTGGTGGGCAAGGGAGTTTTTATAGACGAGCTGGTGGGCAAGGGAGTCTTTATAGACGAGCTGGTGGGCCAGGGAGTCTCTAAAGACGGCTGAAGGGCCAGGGAGTCTCTATAGACGAGCTGGTGGGCCAGGGGGTCTCAATAGACGAGCTGAAGGCCAGGGAGTCTCAATAGACGAGCTGAAGGCCAGGGAGTCTCAATAGACGAGCTGAAGGCCAGGGAGTCTCAATAGATGAACTGAAGGGCCAGGGAGTCTCAATAGACGAGCTGAAGGGCCAGGGAGTCTCTAAAGACGGCTGAAGGGCCAGGGAGTCTCTAAAGACGAGTTGAAGGGCCAGGGAGTCTCTATAGACGAGTTGAAGGGCCAGGGAGTCTCTATAGACGAGTTGAAGGGCCAAGGAGTCTCTATAGACGAGCTGAAGGGCCAGGGACACTCAATAGACGAGCAGAAGGGCCAGGGACACTCAATAGACGAGCTGAAGGGCCATGGAGTCTCGATAGACGAGCTGAAGGGCCATGGAGTCTCGATAGACGAGCTGGTGGACCAAGGAGTCTCAATAGACGAGCTGGTGGGCCAAGGAGTCTCAATAGACGAGCTGGTGGGCCAAAGAGTCTCAATAGACGAGCTGGTGGGCCAAAGAGTCTCAATAGACGAGCGGAAGGCCAGGGGGTCTCAATAGACGAGCTGAAGGCCAGGGAGTCTCAATAGATGAACTGAAGGGCCAGGGAGTCTCAATAGACGAGCTGAAGGCCCAGGGAGTCTAAGTAGACGAGCTGAAGGGCCAGGGAGTCTCAGTAGACGATCTGAAGGACCAGGGAGTCTCAGTAGACGATCTGAAGGACCAGGGAGTCTCAATAGACGAGCTGAAGGGCCAGGGAGGTTTCATAGCTGAGCTGGTGGACAAGAGAGGCTTCATAGCTGAGCTGGTAGACAAGAGAGGCTTCATAGCTGAGCTGGTGGACAAGAGAGGCTTCATAGCCGAGCTGGTGTACGAGAGACGCTTCATAGCCGAGCTTGTGGACCAGAGAGGCTTTATAGCCGAGCTGGTGGACCAGAGAGGCTTCATAGCCGAGCTGGTGGACCAGAAAGGCTTCATAGCCGAGCTCGTGGACCAGAGAGGCTTCATAGCCGAGCTGGTGGACCAGAGAGGCTTCATAGGCGAGCTGGTGGACCAGAGAGGCTTCATAGCCGAGCTGGTGGACCAGAGAGGCTTCATAGCCGAGCTGAAGGCTATATACCCAATTTTTTTAATTTTAATAATATTCAATATCCTTGATATGTCACCTCCAAATCCTCTTATCCATAATTTTTTTTCAAATTTCCATCGCCATTGCAATCCAAATGGAAATCATTAATAATTGTTTTTCTATAAATGTCAATTGTGGCAATTGTATAATCTGTCATCACTTCGATGGTTCAAGGTCTATGTCGCTCCCCCTCCCACCCCCATGTAGCCACACATATAAAATCACTACATTTACTCTCATTCCATAAAAGGATGCCTGATGGCATCAATTACGTCTAATGGCATTTTTATTTGCACAATATAGCTGCTGCCACCACTGCCACTGCTGCTGATGATGGCATAAATTCGACCTTAAATCAAACAATAATTTCTCATTTGCCTAAGTGTTGGGCGGGGGTGTTGGAGAAAAACAAACAAACTGATTGGTTTAGATTTTATTTGTAATAAAAACTATTTATGACTTACAACATTTTGTGATGTGCCAAAACGAAATTTTGCCAAAATGTTTATATTCTTTATATGTGGCTTATGTGCTGAATATACAGTCGGAGTGAAAAGGAGGTATGCAAATTAAAATATTTAAAATTCCGTAAACAATGAATGCAGAAAATCCAATAACCAATATTTTGTTATTTTTTATACAAAAGAAAACATGTACCCAATTTATGCACTTACTGTATATAAGAATTTCTATCACAGCAATTTTCTTAAAGAAAATTCGAGCAAAACGTCAATGAAAATTAATTAAAATTCTTTCTTTCTTCATGACTAACAATTGAAGATCTTTACTTTATTTTCTAAAATTATGTACCATATATTGGCACTAACTGTAAATCCATTTAATTTGAGGCAAGAAATTTATATTAGATATGTATATTATTCAGAACTGTGTGCTAAAGTTTATCAAGGTTTCCAAATACATTTTGTCCTTAAAGTATACATTTCTTAATTATATGTTCTTTTCTTTTGCTCTTACTGTATGCTCTTACTATAGGCAAATCATCTCGTTTTTCCAAATTAAAAGAATGTACTTTATTTGCACCCTCTCTGTAAATATATGTATTTTTTCTTTTGAAGACCCATGCAATTTTCTCGACTCGACAGATTTTGCATTCATGTTTACAATCTGCCAGTGATGAGTATCGTTATGTTGTTTACATCGTCTTCTTCAAACACAATGTTGTTGCATTGTCGACAGATGGCATAGAGCTTGTAACATTTCAGTTTTTCAGTTTTGATTTCAAAGGAAAACTAACAAATGTTTATTGTAATGTAAAAATTAACAAAATAATAATAATATTGAATCAATTTTAAATGGAAAACATAAAGCTATTTATTGAAACGTATTCACATGAATATAAATATGTTTGTTTACAAAATATTACATACATAAAACCGAGCACGGGTCTCTATAGCTGTGTCTTAAATAAATGAAAAAAAAAAAAAAACAATAAAAAAACATTTTATTCAATTAAAATCCAAAACACCAAATTACGGTTTGAAATTGTAGTGGGAAACCTTGATATTCTTAATTTATGTTAGTAATGTTGCAGTCTTTTATTGGAAACAAATTTGCAAGAAATGTCAGACCTCTCCCGAAAAGTGGAGAGATTAAATAAGAGAAACATATAGGTTGGATTTTCGACATTTAAAATTTTCGATGTCGATGTCTTCAGAGGGTATATATCATTAGATACGTCCCAAACGTGCCTTATCGAAAGAAATGTTTTAGACCCTAGGTCTCTTTGGACCAAATTCGTTTCAGGACATTTGAAGTCGATCTAGGAGTGTTCTTCCGTCTGTCTGGCTGGTGCGCACGATATATCTCGAAGGGAGTATCCGATTTGCTCTAAACCTGACAACTGGCAATATTATTATCAAACTTAGATCAAATTCGGAGATGGGCAATATTGGTCCACTCCTCCTGGTACCTCCACAGAAGGTCAAAATTTATACAAAAAATAATTTACAATACAGAACAAGAAAGGATTGTCAAATTTTGAGCAAACTTTGCAAATCTCAATATTTTTCTCCGTGTAGGTCAGGTACGAAAATGGACAATATCGACTTACTCCATCAAGTACCTCCCCCACAAAGGGTCAACATTTTGAATGGTTATAACTCAATTACTTTACCAACACAACATCTGGTATCAAGAAAGAATAGGACAAAATGAGCATCCGATTCTTTTCAAACGTGGCAAATCTTAATATTTTCATCAATACCCGATCTAGTTTGGAGATGGGATACATCCGCCTACTCCTTCTGGTACCTCTCCCACAAAGGGTCAAAATTTTTAATAATTATAACTCCTATAAAGTTATAAATTAGAGTCCGATTATGTTCGAATAGTTTTGCACATCTCAGTATTTTTACCAACACAAGATCTAGTATGAAAATGAAATATTTAGGACTACTTTTCGGTACCTCTTCCACAACGGTTCAAAATTTTGAATTATTATAACTCTCATAAACTGCGAAATAAACACCCGATTCTCTCCAATTTCACACATGCCAATATCCAAAAATATATGGCATAAAGATGGTATATATCAGTGCCCTCCTTCATGTATCTCACAAAAAAACGTTTTGAAATTTCGAATAATTATATTTCCTATAAAATAATCACAACGCAAGGTTGAGGATATACATTTGTCGGCAAAACAGACATCAATACCAAAAATTCAACTAACAATATCAATATCTTCTAGTGTAGAATCCACAATACAAATAATGTTGACGGTAAAAGCCAAGTAAAAATACCCTCCACCATATGAAATATATGAAAGAATTTGCATATAAAATATTCATTGAAAGATACTGCTAAAATCATAAAAATACCAAATATTGGAAGTTACCATTTTATTAGAGACTTTGCGAAAGGGGTGGACCAGTATATACAATTTTTTCGTAGGCCATTACAATATTCAAATACGAAGCTTAAAACAATTCCGGTGAATAATGTTGCTAAAATCATGAAAAAAGCGAATATAGGGAAGTACCGAGGGCTATACGAAAACTTAGACCTGCATATGAAATTTTCGGTGACAGACTGTAATATCCATGAGGCACTTCAAATAAAAATCATCAAAATACCGAGGTTACGTCATATGCGGGATATACAAAGACGTGAACCTGTG